CAATGCCAAAGTAGTGTACGCCATATTTTCAATGTTAAACTTCCACTTACCTATCACTCGTAGTATGGAAATCGGCATCGTAGATCGTGAACGGCTTGTCGATTGTGGTGCATTCTGCCATGAACTCAATCGAACCTCCTGGATCCGCAGAAATGTCGCAGATAGCGACAAGCCGATGAGGCAACGTTGGACAGCCGGGCATGTCATACTGGAATGAAGGCTGCTCCGTATGGCCATATCGCAAAACATTAACGACAGACTACGACTGAAGTGATATGAAGTACAAACTGCACAAGTAGTGGGATCTGAGGATTCATAGTTCCCGTGCGTACTCAGGAGGAATAGGATGATAACTGAAGCTCCGATAGGCTAACTCTACGACCCGATCTCTAATGGGCTTCTGCCCTGTTCTGCTAAACGTCCGAAATGAACTTCAGGTTTAGCAGCGAAAAGTCGGTACCCAGTAGGCCAAGTCGAAAGTATCCACAGTTCTCTTTACCTCTCTTCAGCACTCACTCTGAGATAGCTTGTTTAGCTGTCGGAAATCTGCTCAACTCGCATATCCGAGTCTGGTGAGCTATTCCTGGATACTCCTGTACCTAGAATTATGTTCTAAATTACTATGAGCAAATCGAGTGCATCCGCGCTCTCTGGACTGTCGATCGGGTATCAACTTAGGAATAGAGCTTGCCTTTCCAAGTAAGTAATACAGCATCTAAGTGGCATTAGTTCATTCAGTAGAAATATTGCCGTTCATTAGTTGTAGCGATGGGGGAATAAGGCATGCACATTCAGGCAAAAAACTGGTCTCTGGAGTTTAAGCGTTTGGTTTCTTCTTGTATTCGAGAAATTCAGAATGAGAAAGTCAAGCCGAGAAATTCTGGTGAAGCAAAATTTGGAGCTGCTACAGTTTGCTTGCATGCATGGAAACAATCATGATATCATGAATTTAAATTGATATTCCACATACCCTATGCACAGGAGTGAGTAGGTGCTTGGCATCGGGTATTGTGATCAGTCGTGGTGTTCGAGCATCCCAATAAACTCCATTGATAATAACGGTGGCATATGGAGCTATCTAGAAAAGAAAATCGTAGTGTTTACATCAAGTGTTCGCACCCTTTTTCATATGCGCCACTTTAAAGGCACAGTTCACGATAAAAATGGTTTCTGATTTCTTCCTCTAGAAAGACCCAGTAATCCCCAAGTCAAATAGAAGGACGCTGTCGGGGTCAAAAACTCAACAGCTAGGGTATAGTGGGAGTGCCGCTGCCGGATCGCCTGGATGTCCTGCCCCCCGATCGATATTACTTCAGACGAGGGTCGATGCGATACAGATTGCAATATTCGCTCTAGAACCCACACGCAATCAGGAGATCGCCGAATGATGGGGCGATGTTTCTTTCCCAATCTTTTATTCCTTGTTCTTTGTCTTTTTGCTGCTGCAATCCTTTATCAGTTTTCCTACCACAAGAGGCTGGAAAAGGTTGCCATTTTTGCTGTTATTAGCGTTTTTTGTTAACTTGTGCTCGTGAGCGAATGAATCCTTGCTTGCCGTAGTTAGCTATCCGCACCAGGACCCACAGAACGCAATGACATACATTGTTTAGCTCGTCCAAACGCCCTGTTCTTCCCCATATTTTGGTCTGATTCTCGTCCAGCCCCCTTTTTAACGATTTTTCAATGCTTTTTTTCACTTTAGAAACACCGATTCACTCAGTTTCTTCGCCTTCATCGCACTATTTTCCATCTTATCTGATTTTTCGTCATAATCTGGATTACCCAGAATTATCGTGAACTGTGCCTTCAAGTATGTCATGTCAGTTGAAGTGGGATCGTAGATTACGTGTGATAGAAGGCGATAATATCAGAACTGCTATAACAAAGTTGTTTTCGAGCTACGTTTCCAAATCCCATCTCAAGCATACCTCAGTGGCAAACTTTGAAGTGTAACGTTCAGGATGTTTCTCGAACTCGGCCTTATCGAATGGGCTCCCTGAAGTAAGAGGAACGAGAAATCAAAGAAGTAATAAAACTAGCGAACAACCAAACCTTACCATTCTTGGCTACCATGTGGTCAGCACGAGTAACAACACAGCCGTACACTTTGTTCAGCTCTGAAATGCTCAATACTAACATTCTGGAATCAATTAATTGTAACGAACACACTTACGTCCTTTTTGAGCAACTTTTGGTAGAGTGGCAACGTCAACAAATTCATGAGGGAGATGCTGGAAAAGCTCCTGGGCTCCCTGAGACACATTACCTGATCCAGTGAACACAAAAACCAGGGGGCCGAGAGATCTGA